CATTAACTAGCCCATGGCCTTTCGCAATGTGGGGCTTGGACATAGTAGGACCACTTCCAACAGCACCCTGCAACAGGAAGTTCTTTCTCGCAGCAACAGACTACTTCACAAAATGGGTGGAAGCAGAAGCATTGGCATCAATCAAGGAAAGAGATGTAAAGAAGTTTGTCTGGAAAAATATCATCACTCGGTTTCGAATACCAAAAGCCCTAATCTCAGACAATGGCACTCAGTTCGACGGCAGAATCTTCAGAGGCTTTTGTGAAGAGTACAAGATAGAATTCTACAATTCTACACCAGTGTATCCTCAAGCAAATGGCCAAGCAGAAGCATCGAATAAAGTTGTCTTGGATGGACTGAAGAAAAGGTTAGAAAAGGCAAAAGGCAAGGGGCGGAAGAACTTCCTCATGTTCTATGAGCTTATCGCACCACACCTCGACGCTCAACAGGAGAAACACCATTCTCCTTAGCCTACGGAATGGAAGCAGTAATCCCACTGGAAGTTGGCCTCCCCACAATTCGAAGCGAAAATTTTGATCCCGACTTAAATGGAGAAGCCATAACATTGGAACACGACCTTGCGGAAGAAAGAAGAGAAAGAGCACTGGTTCACATTGCCTCATACCAACAAGAGTTATCCAGGAAATACAACAAAACGGTGCATCCAAGACAATTCAAGATCGGAGATTGGGTACTGCGCAAAGTAATGGGAAACACCTTGATACCAGGAGATGGCAAGCTAGGGCCTAACTGGGAAGGTCCTTACAAAGTGGTTGGGTTAGCAGGCAAAGGGGCATACCACGTCGAAGACAAGGATGGCAAAGCAATCCCTAGGCCATGGAACACGGCCAATCTCAAGTTATTTTATTTTTAGCTTTCTTCTTTTCAAATATGCATAATTTCTTTTTCAATAAAACAATCGATTCTTTTCAGCATGAGTTGTTCTCTATAAAAGTTAGCTTTAGTAAAGTTTAGATACATTGCAAACATTATTCTAAGTTGGCTGGAAAAACTAACTAACTTAGTGGTTGGCTGGATTAAACCAACACCCTTCCTAAGCCCAGGATAAGGATCCAGGCTGCAGGACGTTTGGTCAGAATAACCAAACATTATTCTAAGTTAGCTAGAAAAACTAACTTAGAGGTTGGCTGGATTAAACCAACTCTTTGTACTCTTCAGCCAAAGTAAGGGTATGGCTGAAGAGTGGTTAGCTGGATTAAACCAACTCTTGGTACTCTTCAGCCGAAGCAAGGGCATGGCTGAAGAGTGGTTGCCTAGATTAAACCAACTCTTTGTACTCTTTAGCCGAAGCAAGGGTATGGCTGAAGAATGGTTGGCTGGATTAAACCAACTCTTTGTACTCTTCAGCCGAAGCAAGGGCATGGCTAAAAAATGGTTGGCTAGATTAAACCAACTCTTTGTACTCTTCAGCCGAAGTAAGGGTATGGCTGAAGAGTGGTTGGCTGGATTAAACCAACTCTTTGTACTCTTCAGCCGAAGTAAGGGCATGGCTGAAGAGTTGTTGGCTGGATTAAACCAACTCTTTGTACTCTTCAGCCGAAGCAAGGGTATGGCTAAAGAATGGTTGGTTGGATTAAACCAACTCTTTGTACTCTTCAGCCGAAGCAAGGGCATGGCTAAAGAGGGGTTGGCTGGATTAAACCACTCTTTGTACTCTTCAGCCGAGGTAAGGGTATGGCTAATGAGTGGTGGGCTGGATTAAACAAACTCTTTGTAACTCCTCAGCCGAAGTAATTATGTCAGCTAAAGAGTGGTTGGCTAGTAAGCATAGTTAGATTGACCAGCCAAAACCGAGATAAAAGTTGCAAGTGAAAGTAGCATGGAAAAATCATTACAAGTACAAACATACAGATCAACCGAAATAAGAGTTGAAGAAAATTTTCATTCATCAAAAAAGCAAATACAAAGGAGGGGCCATAGCCCGGTTACATGAAGCAAAAAGTAACAAAGAAGAAAAGTACAAAATCAACTGAAAAGGTCTTCAATTTCGGTGTCAATATCAACTTGAACACCGGTTGTAGATGGAAGATCAGTCTCAGTAGCAATTGGCAGAACGATATCAGTCGATGGCTCAACAGTCAAGTCTTCAACCGTTGCCTCTAACCGAGCTGATTGATCGTTGACTTGCTCGTTGACTACCGGAGTAACAGTTTATTCGTTTTTATCGTCTGCATCATCTGAATCCTGCAGAACTTGTTCTTGGACCGAAGTAGCGTATTCCGCTAGTGATGCTGGAATGAAGTACTGTGGAGCATTGTACACCTCGGTTTCAGGCCCACAACTGTAATAACCCTCATCACTGCTTACCGATAAAACATTGATTACCGTCAAACTGAACTGATTATGACTGATAATTGAACTGATTAAAGTACTGAACTAACTGATTGAAAACTGGAACTGAATTGACTGAGTATGTATGTTAATTTGTATTCTATCTGTTTGATTGTTTATTTGATCTGTTCATGTTTTATGTTCAAACTGCTAATTGGAGGCCTTATCTGCGGCCGAACCGGGAATTGATTGATGTTTTATGATCATCATAATTTATGTGATTTTATGGTATAATTATCTGAAAACTGATTAGGTATGATTAAATTAGATTAAATATCAATGAATTGCAAGTGTTAGGCTTATTTACACTTTTGCCACACTTAGTGGCCACTATCTCACACACATTTGAGCCTTGTATACACTTATACACTTAGATCAAAACATTGCTCAGCCTTTCTCCTTGCCATAGTCGACCAAGAGGGGGAGAGAGTGAGAGATTGAATTGTTCATCTTGAATTGCTTGGGAACTTGAAGAATTGCTTAGTAATTGAAGTATAGATTACATATTTGAGCTCCTAGTCTTCTAATTCCAAGACTTAGGTAAGGATTTCATCTTCTCATTCTTGTGTTTGAGCTAATTCTTCCATGGTCCATGTTAAATTGTAGAGCTAAGTCATGTTTTAGTTCATACATGTTGATATAGAGCATAATCCATGCATGCATGTTTGAATTGTTGGATTTTGAGTTGAGTTCATGGCAAATTGTTACATGCATGTCCATGATTTTGTAATGGTCTATGTTTTCATCTTGTTTTTGGATCAATTGGCTCCTTAGAGCATCAAATTGAGCTTTGAGTTGTTTAAAATTCATGCATGGTTGCATGTTCATCCTGTTCATGAAATGGTTTGAAATTGGGTTTGAATTAAACACCCTTGGGCTTTGATTTCTCAAATTGAGTTTTGAATCATGTTATTCCATGTGTTTACAAGTGTTTTTCTGGAAATTCAGCCCAAGAGGTCGAGTTTTGAGTTGTTAAAACTTGGTTTTTGGCTTGGAGGTGCAATCTGGGTTTTCCAGAGTTTGCACTTCCGCTCGAGCGGAGGATTGGGCGCTCGAGCGGAGGCATGTGTCTCACGATCGAGCGGGCGTCGAGCGTCCGTCGAGCGGAGATTTCACCCATCCAGTACTTTTACAGTACGCTCGAGCGGGAAAGTTGACGCTCGAGCGTGTACCTTTGTTTCATGACCGCTCGAGTGGGGAAACCGCGCTCGAGCGGGACTTTGTTTTTCTGAAAAATCTGAAAATGCTTTTAACCGTTCATCTTTGCATCCTCATCCCATTCTAGGCATTCTTAGGCCTAGTTTAAGACATCTTTGAGGATATAGATGTAGAACACACCGAGGCAAATTAGGGATTAAGTTATTATCTTTCCCAACTGTGTAGCTTAGTGTGTGTTCAATCTGTTAACTGTGTAGGGTTGGCGACTGGGGAGGCACGCTCTAGCATACCGTAGCCCAAACTCTGTGAGTAACGATTGTGTAAAGATATGTTCACAAATGATTGTTTTCTGAACAACTGAACTGTACTGCTTTCTGAACTGACTACTGTTAATTGAATGAATGTATGTCCTATATTCTGAACTGTATTGTGGCATCGTTAGCACCTACTGTTTACTGTTACTGTGACAGAATTCTCTGTCGGTTCCCTTGTTGGAACCACTACTGTTTACTGACTGATGGCCATCATTACCGTTCGGTCTTTTAAGACCTACTGTTTACTGTACTGTTATGCTAATGGGCGTACCACATATGACTGTACTGACTGAACGACTGAAATACTGATTTAATGGACTGTTTTCATTACTATAAGGACTTTCATTATTAACCCCTTTACGCGTTATGTTATTCACTGGGCTTTAGCTCACTGCTCTTATATATATGTAGGTGTTCAGGCACCAGACCGCGGCTAGGAGCGTCAGGGTTACTCCAGTTTTGTCAAGCCAGCCTATGTGCCTCACTGCGAGGTTCCGAGCCTATCCTGCTAAGGCTTATGGGTATTTTAGGACTCCCCCTTCTGTACTGTCTTACTGTTTTGTATAGACTGAATGTTTACTGCACTGTTATGTAAAGGGTTGAGTCCCTAGTCTGAATGATTGTACATTTTGTGCATACTGTTCTGTACTGATTATGTATATATGTATGAAAAGTCTTTTTGCATACAGACTATCACTTCTCATTGGGCATTGTTTATTTGTTTTACTATTCTACTGTTCTGCAGGCCTTCGGTAATCTCGGATTACTGGCCGGTTACGGTGCTAAACCCATAGGGCCGGGTTTGGGTTAGGGGTGTTTTAGGACTCCCCCTTCTGTACTGTCTTACTGTTTTGTATAGACTGAATGTTTACTGCACTGTAATGTAAAGGGTTGAGTCCCTAGTCTGAATGATTGTACATTTTGTGAATACTGTTCTGTACTGATTATGTATATATGTATGAAAAGTCTTTTTGCATACAGACTATCACTTCTCATTGGGCATTGTTTATTTACTGTATTGGCTTCCGCCAGGTCCTGTACTCTGTTTTACTGTTCTACTGTTCTGCAGGCCTTCGGTAATCTCAGATTACTGGCCGGTTACGGTGCTAAACCCATAGGGCCGGGTTTGGGTCGTGACAACAGCCGAGCTGTTCCACAGCACTCCTCCAGCCACACTTGAAGAATAAGTCCTTCGCCCCCTCGCACTGCAGAATGTAGAGGCCCTCCGCCTCTTTGAAACCTTGGGCGTTGGCATCACCAACCTTCTTCTTCAGATCAGCTATTTCGGCGTCTTTTTTGCCTTCGAGTTTGGCCAACTCGCGCAAGTATTTATCCTTCACCGTTATTGCAATTTTTTGCTTTTCAGCTTCAGCCGAGCTAACAAGTCCGGTCAAGCGACCATTCTCTAACTGTAGCTCGGCTATCTGCTTTTTGGCTTGCTCAAGCTGTGCTGTCTTTGCCTCGGCTTCCGCCACTGCTTGTCTCGTTGTTTTCTGGAGCTCCAGCACTTTCTTATGTGCAAGATTGTTCTTCTGAATGGCCTGCAAAAGAGTAGTAACTCTCTTTAGCCGGACTGTCAGTTGGGAAAATTTAGACAAAGAAAAAGGAGAGCCACTTACCAGGATCATTGATTTTGTTAAAGACCGGATGGCCTTCAGCTCAGTTTTTAGTTGCTTGTTGTGGTGCTCCATATCTTTCGGAAGGCAAACACTCTTGGCTAGATTGAAAGCCATCAAGTGATCCTTCTCAGCAACGACCGAGTCAGTCTCCTGGATATTTCGGTCTTGAAAGGTGAGAATTGGAGCCCATTTGGAGGAGTCAGCTCGATCAGATTGCTCCGATTGAAGGATGGGTTGAGGACTTGGTGGAGGGATGGATTCGTCCTCATCCACAAGTTGTTGTTCGGTCGGGGTAGATCAGGCGCGCTTAGAGGGGCGTGAGGAAGAAGGCTGTTGAGAGGGGAGGGCCACAACGGCAGGCTGCGTTTGGCTTGGTGGTGGTACTTCGGGTCTGTTAGTTTTGGTTAGAAGCGCCCTTACTCTGTTCCTTTTAGCCATTTCCTCTTCAGCAGTTAGTGGGATTAGTCTGATTTCTGGTAAGGTTGGGTCCGGTTCTGGGGCCTCCTCGATCAGAAAGTTGGTCACTCTCGCTTTTCGGCGACCGCTGTATCTGTAGGTCGGCTCGAATTTTAGTAGCTTAGCCCAACTACGTTCTGGATACCGTATTGCGGCGCGTAAAGTCGCTAGATTTGGGTAGCTATATAAAGAATGGAGGTGGGCAGAATCTGCGAAAGAAGACAACTGTTAGTTCGGCTGAAAGATTGACAAACCGAAATATAAAATAGCACGCAAGAAAACCGAAGTAAATTTACCAGGTTCTCCTTTTTTCCAGTTAATACGTCGGCCAGCAATCTGGGCTTGATGATCCTCAAAGTTCCCAGACACCTAGAAAAAATCGTCGTTGTTTAAGTCTTTATCCGGTGTATTCTTTATTATTTTCTCACGACGGCGGCGTATTCTGAGATAGTACACCCAGCCGTCTTCCTTCGAACCAATGGAGTATTGGTGAAAGATTTCGGCCAGACCAAGGTTGAGACCGGCTTGCCGGTTTAGTTCGGCTATTCCCATTATTATGCGGTATGAATTGGTGGATAGTTGGGTTGGGCATAGCCTAGTTTGCCTAAGAAACTCGCAAATTAAAGGTTAGACTGGAAATCGTAGTCCGGTTTCAATAATTGACAAAAGGGTAAAGGGGACAAAGCCTTCATTACCCCAAGGTATGACATCCTTTTCGGCTAAAATCAGGTGGACGTCATCAGGTATATTGTAGGCTTTTCTGAATTCGACTAGGCCACCCGGAGTGTCTACTAGATGCCTATACTTCCCCATTTATTTTATAATTTACGAATAAATTAAGTTCGGTCCAAAAATTGTGCTCAGTAGCTCGGTTGAGCGCGCAGAGGAGTGCCTAGGCAACCTAAGTCTGCAAAGTAGAAAACAAAGGGGTTAAGCACAGATCATTGGACCGTGCTACAAAATAAAAGTAAAAAATAGGAGCCTCACTTCGGCTATGTGGATGCTATAATTTCTAACTCGGTTTCTGCAAGGTGATTTGTAGCTCGGTTTGAGCAGGACTTTACTAGTTCGGACTCGGCAAGGGTCTAGTTATATCGGTTGAGGAAACGGTTCTGTTTGACCGGTTGATCGCCTAGGGGCAGCTTTCTGAGTTCCATCTAAAAAACTAAGAAAGCTGGTTTAGCCCCGAAGGCCTAGATCAGTTGGAGTTCAGGTATCTCGGTATACTAAGTACAAACCTAGTTCGGTTGGTTACCTCGGCCAAGGTCTAGCAAGAAGTGGTTTGACTTATTCAAGGCTACTGGTGTAAACATGTAGTGTAAGTCCGATTGTAAGCTAACTAGACTTTTACCTAGCCTAAACAGTATCCTAGTTCGGTTGCATCATGATTCTGGATCAAAAGCTAGTTTTCTACAGGATATTCCATATACTCATGTGTTCTACTGTTAAAGTTTTTTTCATAAGAGTACAGAGCAAAGCAAGAGGGAAAAATGTGTTTGCAAAAAGCACAGAAAACAAAACACATAGAACAAATATGAAAACAAACAGAGCAAGAAAGAGGGATTTGCTTACCAGGTTGAAGTAGAGGACCTGGAAATGGATGCAACGGCAGTAAACGATGAACACAAAGCAAGCTTCAGAGTTGCAAAATGTTGGGAGGCAATGGAGGCTTAGAGAGAAAGGAGCTGTAAAGTGTACCAAGACGAAGAGATGCGTTTTAGGTAAAGGGGAAAAAAAAGGCGGGACTGTTCAAATTTCACGAAGTACGAAGACGGCGTGACAGTCGTCCTCAATCAATCAGTGCATGCCACGTGTCCCAGGAAGGGGAAACGATTCAGTTGCTGTGATTGAGGGGACGTTTTGACCGGACAAGCAGAGCCTGGTGCAAAATTAGCTCGGCTGGAAGGCTTAAGAGTTTTAACTCGGCTGGAAAGGCTAGGGATTTTAGCTCGGCTAGAAAGGCTTAAAAAACTTCAGCCCGGTTGATAGACAGGTAATCCCAATCATGCTGTGCAGATGGAATTAAGGGGTAATTGAGAGGGTAATTTTGGTGAAAATTAGGCCGAGCTATGAGATGATCATTATGGCCCAAAGTACGAAGGGCTGGGTGAAAAGGCCGAAAGTTACTCCGGCCCAAGAGAGGTAAAATTACTCCGGTCTGGAAGCGACTTGGAGCTAGGCCGGTCTCAAAGTTAATCCGGTCATGGCGTATTATGGATAGGACGGACAGAACCTTGCTACTCGGTAGCTCGGTCTAACTATGCCATGGGTTATTCATGAGAAGCCGACGTAAGAGCACTAAAAAGGAAGAACCGAACTAAGGATGATTCGGCCTACTCTGCGGCTCAGCATAGCCATGCTTATTTCGGTCATGTTGGAGTTCGGCCTTGGTAAAAACCATCTCACTTGGTTTAAGCAGTGAGGGGGGTGTTAGAGGATAAGCATTATCCTTTAGGAGTATGAATCCTAGGCGAACTCTGCGTGGAGGAGTAGAAGTCCTACTAGGATTGTGTCACACGAAACCTATAAAAGCTCACAAACATCCCCTTTGGAGAGGTAACACACAACTTTGTTTCTGAATACACAGAGTTTTTGTCTATTTGTCAAGTTTACTGACTTAGGCATCGGAGAGGTTTCTGGCACACACCCGCCGGCTAGCTCACGTTTGTATTTTCAGGTGATAAAGCGATGATGTACGGAGGAGAGTAGACTTGGTCAACAGGATTATACGAGAAGGTTTATTTCTTTCCCGTACAATAACCCTGACTCAAATATCTTTCAAATGATTCAGATCTCACCTCTGTTTGACGTTGTTTGTTCCCTCTTTTCATTTTTTAACTCATACTACCTGCCTTGGAACTTGTTGGAATCTACTGTTTGAAAATACTAGTTTTCTTCTAAAAATAAATTCATCTTAAAATGGTTTTTAGCTTTGGAGTTCTTCTAGACATGTCTTCCTCACTTAATGAACTACCTCTAGTAAAAATATTATGATCGTTGGATTTCATTTGGTATGGATTTCATATTTTTCTTTAAAATCGGTCACTTTTAAAATTCTAGAAATACTTGTATAATTGTGTATTCTTAAGGTGTATTATAACTATGACTTGTCTACTATTTGTTTGCTATTATGATATCATTTGTGCCTCATTAACAACTCTATTTACTCGTGTATTAGTTGATTTGTGCCTCGTATCGCTAGTCTTTGATCCCTAAATCGATACACAAATACTCTCTCTCTACATTACCTTCTCTAAGCCACTGACTTTAGCATCGAAGGGATTTTCCAACCAACCCCAGGAAGCAACCCTTACCGGTTCTCTATCTTGCAGATCTCAGTTCTCGAATTGTCCAGTTTGGCCACGGAGTTCCACCTCTTCAACAGTGCGGAAATCACCCCGCACAAGTAAAGTGGCCCATGGCCAAGTGGTAGAAGAAAATGAATTTGTTCACAATGCACAGTATACTATGTCATAACCCAAAATTGTGGATCCCATATTTGTAAAAGTGTATGAGGCTATTAAGATTTGTGGACTCCAAAATTTTAAACTACTCCAAATATGCGTGTTGCTCATAAAATCAGACTCGTGTTGAAATAAATAAGGGTTAAATTCATCTTATCTTGTGATTTGGGATTAAAACACTTTATCCCTCTATTATTCAAATATAATCAGAAAGTTCTCATGTGATTTTAGACTAAAATATTATTGTTAGTTTTTTTCATCCAAACCAATAGAAGGTGTATTACACATACCTTTTTTTAGAATGGATTTTGTTTTCTAAAAAATTAAAATGAAAATAATACAACAAAAAGACAATTTTATCCTCATTTTCTCCAAACCTAAAATTAGATTAATATGCTAATTAAATTAAAATATAATTAAGAATTGATCTAAAGTATAAAATCTAATTAAATAAAAAAATAATTAAGAATTGATCTAAAATGTAATTAAATTAACATTAGATTAACATAATAGAAATTATAATAAATAATTAAGAATTTAGTATTAATTGTTATCTAGAATATGATTAAATTAAAATTAGATTAAAAAGTTATTAATTGCAATAAATAGTTAAATATTTAGGATTAATTGTGATCTAAAATATAATTAAATGAAAATCAGAATAAAAATTTAAGAATTACAATAAATAATTAAGAATTTACAATTAATTGTGATCTAACTGAGTTAACAATAGATATTATAAATTATGTATATGAGAAATGAAAGAAAAAGAAAATAACAAAAAATATAAAGTTTAAAGGTATTATAGTCATTTCACATTTATAATTAATGGTGTTTAACAATTATATTTTTGTCCAAAACCATATGAGAGACATATGACTATTTTAAAAGATAGGGGATAAAATGCTATCAAGTCATATTAGTAGGAGGTAAAACGAATTCTGATCAATAAATAAATAAATACCATAGCATTCCAGCTTGACTGCGGTGTGAAGGACAGTGGAGTCATCACCCATAGCGGTGGTGTTGGTGGTGTTGTTGCTGCTGTTTCTGCGATTGTATACTTTCCACTTGAGAAACTCGAAAACCTCGACTTTTTCATAGGCAGCAGCAGAATAAAGAGGAGTCTCTCCAAACTTGTTGCGTTCGAAAACCGAACCTGGATTCTTCTCCACCAACATTTCTACGAAATTCATGTGACCCAACTTGGCAGCTTCATGAAGTGGTGTGTCACCTTTTTCATTTCTTGGATTGAGCTCAGTAGCGGTGAGTAGCCCGACATCAAGAAGTTTTTTCAAGTCCGATGTGTTGTTTTTCATGGCCATGAAATGCAGCATTGTGTTGCCACTTTCGTCCATCGCTTTCTTACTGGCACCTCCTCCTCCTAGTTGTTGTTGCTGCCTCCAAAACTTGCACAGCACTTCTCCTCCTCCCTTCTTTGATGCTGCTGCTTCATAAGCTTTCTTAAGGCTTACGGGCATGTTGTTGTTGTTGCTGCTGCTGCTTCCTATTTTTCTTCTCGTTTTTTTCTTTTTCAGATTCGAACCCTTCTTCATATATATTTTACGGGAAAGAAATATACCTTCTCGTATAATCCTATTGACTAAGTCTGTGCTCCTCCGTACGACGTCGCTTTGTCACCTGAAAACACAAACGTGAGCTAGCCGGTGGGTGTGTGCCGGAAACCCCTCTGATGCCTAAGTCAGCAAACTTGACAAATAGACAAAGCTCTGAATATTCAGAAAGCAAAGTTGTGTGTTACCTCTCCCAAGGTGATGTTTGTGAGCTTTTATAGGTTTCACGTGGCATAATCCTAGTAGGACTTCTACTCCTCCATGTAGAGTCCTCCTAGTATTCATACTCCTGTAGGATAATGCTTATCCTTTAACACCCCCCCTCACTGCTTAAACCAAGTGAGATGGTTTTTACCATGGCCGAACTACCATATGACCGAAATAAAACTGGCTATGCTGAGCCACAGAGTAGGCCGAACTATCCTTAGTTCGGTTTTTCCTTTTACTCCTCCTTATCTCAGTTCTCTCCTGTTCAACCCATGGTGTGTTGGACCGAACTAATCAAATTGCGACCGGTGTAACTCCCAGGCCGGTTTAACTCAAAGGTACTGCTTAGACCGATCTAACTTCGTTCTTACGTTGGACCGGACTAGCTCCAAAACATTCACAAGACCGGAATAACTTGTACGTAACTAGGGCCGGAGTAACTTTTACGGCCTTTTTACACAGCGTTTTGTATTGTGGCCCAATATGAAAATCTCATAGCTCGGCCCAATTTTTACCAAAATTACCCTCTCAATTGCCCCTTAATTCCATCTGCACAGCATGATAGGGATTATCTATTTATCAGCCGAGCTATAGTCCCCAAACCTTCCAGCCGAGCTATAACCATTTAGTTTATCCTGCCGAGCTAAACTTAAACCGAGCCGCTCCCATCCGGTCACAATGTCTTTTCAATCACCGAAAACTGAATCGCTTCCTATTCCGTATACACGTGGCACGTTCCCATTCATGGAAGGCAGCTGTCAACGCCGTCTTCGTATTTCGCAATTTTTGAACAGTTCCCGCCCTTTCTCTCTTTTTCCACAAAACAAGTATTCTGTCTTTGAATCATTCACCCACACTTTTCACCTTCTTCTCTCTTCGTGCCTCTGCTTCTCCAACCTGAGTTCGTGTTCTTCATTGGTGCTGTTGCTCCCACCACCAGCTTCATCTTCTTTTGGTAAGCTCCACAAAATCGGTTTTGTTTTTCTTATTTCTGCTTTCTATGTTTTTGCGAAACATGCTTGTACATTTTTGTTTTTGCTTCTGTACTTTCATGGAAAAATCAGTAGAACCTATGAGTATATGTTATATATCCTATAGAAAACTCGCTTTTGATTCAGAATCATGTCTCAACCGAACTAGGAAACTGTTTGTGCTATATAGGTAGATCAATTCAGACAATAACCGAACTAGATACAATTTAGCAGAGATACGCTTACCGAACGAAGTTCTGTAAGCAGTAAACTAGGAACCTTGGTATTCAACCGAGCTAGGCCTTGGGGCTAAGCCAGCTTTCTTAGTTTCTAAACCAAACTCAGAAAGCTGCCCCTAGAGGCTCAACCGAAGTAATAAAATTCATAGTTCAACCGATTTAGGCCTTTGGGGCTAAACCAGCTTTCTTAGTTTTTTTAGACCGAACTCAGAAAGCTGCCCCTAGACGATGAACCGGTCTAACAAAATTGTTTCCAAAGCCAGTATGCCGAGATGCTTGCCAAGATCTGGCTAATAAGAACCCTGCTCAAACCGAGCTACCAAGCATTTTGCTGAACTGAGATAGAACCTAACCTCAAAGCCGAAGTAGGGCTCTTTTACCTTGCTTTTAATTTGTAGCACGGTCCAATGATCTGTGCTTAACCCCTTTGTTTTCTACTTTGCAGACTTAGGTTGCCCAGGCACTCCTTCGTGCGCTCAACCGAGCTACTGAGCACAATTTTTGCACCGATATAACTTATTCATAATTTATACAATAGATGGGGAAGTATAGGTACCTAGTAAATACTCCGGGCAGCCTAGCCGAATTTAGAAAAGACTACAATATACCCGATGATGTCCACTTGATCTTAGCCGAAAAAGATGTCATTCCATGGGGTAATGAAGGCTTTGTCCCCTTCACCCTTTTGTCAATTATTGAAACCGGACTACGATTTCCAGTCCAACCTTTAATCTGTGAGTTTCTTAGGCAAACTAGATTATGCCCTACCCAACTATCCACCAATTCATACCGCATCATCATGGGAATACCCGAACTAAACCGCCAAGCTGGACTAAACCTTGGCCTGGCCGAAATCTTCCACCAATATTCCATTGGTTCAAAAGAAGATGGGTGGGTCTATTATCTAAGAATACGTCGCCGCCGAGAGAAAATAAAATATACACCGGACAAAGACTTAAACGACGACGATTTTTTCTAGGTGTCTGGGAACTTTGAGGATCATCAAGCCCAAATTCCTGGCCGACCTATAAATTGGAAAAAATGAGAGCCCGGTAAATTTACTTCGGTTTTCTTGCTTGCATTTTTTTTATATTTCGATTTTTTAATGTATCAACCGGACTAACAGTTGTCTTCTTTCGCAGATTCTGCCCACCTTCACTCTTTATATAGCTACCCAAACCTAGCCATTTTGCGCGCCGCACTACGGTATCCAGAACGTAGCTGGGCCAAATTGCTGAAGTTCGAGCCGACCTACAGATACAGTGGTCGCCGAAAAGCCAGAGTGACTGATTTTCTTCTTGAAGACGCCCCAGAGTCGGACCCAACCTTACCCCAAATCAGACTAATTACACTCACTGCTGAAGAGGAAATGGCCAAAAAGAACAGAGTAAGGGCTCTCTTGACCGAAACCAACAGGGCCGAAGTACCACCAGCAAGTCAAACCCAAGAAACGGTGGTGGCCCTTCCTATTCAACAACCGTCCTCATCCACCGAACCAAGCGCGCCCGAACTGCCGAAACCGAACCAAGTTTGGTTGATGAAGAAGAAACTGCTCTTCCACCAAGCCTGCCACCGAGTCCCCAACCAGAGCCTTCCAACCGAACTACCACTAGCTGGGTGCCAAAACTTTCCTTCAACAATCGAGATATCCAAGACTCTGACTCGGTTGTTGCTGAGAAGGATCACCAGTTGGCCTTCAACCTGGCCAAGAGTGTGTGCCTCCCCAAAGATATGGAGCACCACCAAAAGCAATTGAACACCGACCTGAAGGCCATCCGGTCTTCAACAAAATCCATGATCTTGGTAAGTAGCTCTGTCCGTTTTTCTGTCTAATTTTTCCAACTTTCACTTTGGCTCAAGGGAAGTCTTTGTTTTGTCAGGCCATTCAGAAAAACAACATTACTTACAGGAAGGTGGTAAAGCTCAGGAAAACAACAAGGCAAGCCGTGGCAGAAGCTGAAGCGAAGGCGACCGAGCTAGAGGAGGCCAGAAAGCAAATGGCCAATCTACGAGCTGAGAACGGCCGACTGGCCGGATTGGTTAGTTCGGCCGAGGCAGAAAAGCAAAAGGCTGCCATTGTGCTAAAGGATAAGTATCTGCGCGAGCTGGTGAAGCTTGAAAGGAAGAAAGATACCGAGATAACCCAGCTGAAGGAGTGCGCAAAAGGAGCCGAAAAGAAAGGTTTCAAGAAGGCGGAGGATGCTTACACCCGGCAGTGTGAAGCCGCCAAGGAACTTTTCTTTAAGTGTGGCTGGAGAGCAGCCGTTGAGAAGCTCAGTCACGATCCACAGACCGAGGTCTTCAACCCTCCAGCCTACTTCATACCGAACTCCCTAGTGGAGTATGCTAATGTCATACAGCAGCAATTTCTTGAAGGTTCAGACTCTAATGAAGACTCTGCCTCTGAGGACACTCCGGTTGTCAATGTAGACCCGTTAGTTCGGCTGGAGCCCATGGTGGAAGATCTGACTATTGAACAACCAGGTGAAACCGTGGTTCCGAGCGAAACCGAGAATGAGCTCCCGCCTGAAACCGGTCTTCATGTTGATACTGATGCTGCGTTTGATGCCGAAATTGATGATCTTTTCTCTTGATTTTGTACATTTTTTTTTTTGCTACCTTTTTTACTTTTGTAACCGGGCTACGGCCCCTCCTTTGTACTTGCTTCCTGATGAATGAAAATTTTCATTTACTCTTACTTCGGTTGATTTGTATGCTTGTACTTGTGATTTTTTCATGATCTTTGTACTTTCAACTGTTATCTCGGTTTTTGCTTGCTCAAACTATGCTTACCAGCCAACCACTCCTTAGCCGACATAATTACTTCGGCTGAGGAGTACACAGAGTTTGTTTAATCCAGCCCACCACTCTTCAGCCATGCCCTTACTTCGGCTGAAGAGTACAAAGAGTTGGTTTAATCCAGCCAACCACTCTTCAACCATGCCCTTACTTTGGCTGAAGAGTACAAAGAGTTGGTTTAATCCAGCCAACCACTCTTCAGCCATGCCCTTACTTCGGCTGAAGAGTACAAAGAGTAGGTTTAATCCAGCCAACCACTCTTCAGTCATGCCCTTACTTCGGCTGAAGAGTATAAAGAGTTGGTTATTCCGACCAAATGTCCTGCAACTTGGATCCTTATCCTGGGCTTAGGAGGGGTGTTGGTTTATTCCAGCCAACCTCTAAGTTAGTTTTTTCCAGCTAACTTAGAATAAAATGTTTGGTTATTTCGACGAAACGTCGTGCAGACTGGATCCTTATCCTGGGCTTAGGAGTGGTGTTGGTTTATTCTAGCCAATCTCTAAGTTAGTTTTTCCAGCTAACTTAGAATAAAAGGTTTGTAATATTCCTAACTTCACTAAAGCTAACTTTTACAAAGAACAACGCATGCTGAAAAGAATCGATTGTTTTATTGAAGAAAAAGAAATTACACATGTTTGGAAAGAAAAAAGCTAAAAATAAAATAACTTGAGATTGGCCGTGTTCCATGGCCTAGGGATTGCTTTGCCGTCCTTGTCTTCGAGGTGGTATGCCCCTTTGCCTGCTAATCTAACCACTTTGTAAGGAC